CCCTGTCTGCCTAAACCCTAGGACTTGTGTTCCGCTAGTAACTCTAGTAGACTGAGGATCATGCAAGAGTCCATCAAGCATACTTGGAGGTCCGTTGTACCTATGACCTACTTAGTAAGTGTAGTTATAACCTAACTATAGGTCCCATAATTACTGTTACGCTAGATATAATTGGGTTATATCTACAGTTACTAAGTAAGTTATAAGCTATAAGTACAATGGACCTCCAAGTAGGGCAGGGGAGATTTTGAGGCCGTTGACTGGGAGAATGGGACGGAGTTGATCATCACACCTTCTGCCAGGCTCGGGGTTGAGGGGTCCTGGATTTGAAGTTGGATGTATATTACAGGTCTGGTGGAGCGTATGCGTATAGAGTTCTGTAGGAAAATGGTGAGTTTGTGTATTTGGTTTCCACTTTGGGGGACCACAAGTAAAGGTGCTACCGCACGTGAGGGCTCTGGCAGTGCCTTAAAGCTGCGGTTCGAGGGTTGCGTGGAGGGGGGGGCTCAGTTGTTAGGGTTTACGGTTAAGAAAAGGGGGGGCTTAGGGTTTTGTGTCAGGAAGCTTTCGGGAAGCTTTCAGGACTTTTGGGATGTTGGAGGGGGTAGTATCTGTGATTACCATGCCCTGGTCAAGTTCTCCATATTAGCCTGGCAGAATTCAAGCCTCAAGTTGTGCAGGGACTACTACAGGCTGCCTACATAATTACCAGTATTGTGGTTCCAGATGCCTTGTATGGCATGGGGTACTTCGAGTTCATCTGGCAATGGTATTGGTAATTATTCAGGCCTGTACATTCCTTGCTTGAGACCTTATGGCATCGTCTATATGTCTACTTCGACGACTACAGGCCTTAGCAGGGTATCTGCAGGGAGTTTTGTTTCCAGTTAAGAGTATCCGGATGATGCATCCGGCAGATGCATCTGGCAACCCTGAACACTGCAATCGCGATCTTGTCTCTGGCTTGGGTTGTTTCTGAAAATTGCCGTCTCTTTTGTTGGGAGGTCCTGGAAGAGGGGACGATGGTAGTTGCAGGGTATGTAAGAGGATCTGAACTTTGACAATCTCCCACCTGCTTGACTCCGAGTAGGTAGGGCCTTTAGTTGGTGGATCCTACTCGTTTGTGCCGGGGTTTCGGGGAGTATTCTCAGCTACGAACCCCTCGGCCCTGAGCACTAAGCTCCAAACCCTGAAGCCTAAGCTTCAAACCGTGAGGAATCAAGATGAGGTCCGAAAGGTGAGGAGCATCCTCGAAGCTTGGAATTGTTGAGGATCAGCTTTGTTCTTGCATCAGACTTAGGGTTCTTTGGGTCTAGATACCCTATAAACCCATTGGGGTAATATTAGGGTTATATTGGGGTTATTTTGGGATAATGGACAAAGAAAATGGAAACTACTATATTATATTCGGGCAGAGGCTAGGCTTAGAAGTGGTGAAGACGGCAGGTTGGAGACTACTACAGTTTAAGCTTCAGGGTTTAGGGGTACTGAGAACACAAAAACCTCAGGGTTCTTTGCATGAAAGGCTCACGTACTGGGCCGTGAAGACATGCCAGGTCAGCTTCTGCCTGGAGATCCGCATGCTTCGTTTTGAGAAGCTGTTCCTCATGTTGCAATTCCATGAAAGAACAGCTCAAATTGCACATGCCATTTACTTATGAGATTTGAGGTGGGGGGAAAGCAGTAGCATAAAGGGGACAAGCGGTCCAAGAATGTTCGCAGTCTTCTGAATGTTCAAGCCCGAGACGGAATATCAACTGAGCATAAAACCGCCATGGTGGCTGTTGGCCCAGAATGGCAAACGTAACCTATGCTTCCCTTCTGTCAAGCAACCATGTGGTGAGCAACAGCATCCCAAAGTACAGGGGTTCTTCCCACGGTCTAGGAACAAATTTCCAGCTCGATCCCACAAGCTAACATGGAACCTTAAGAAGGACAGTAGTCTTTACAGGGCCCGTTTGATGGGATCCACGTTAGTTTGGGTATGTCGGTGCTCCGAGCTCCCATCCCCAAAGCTTGGCTTTCTGGGTTTTTTAGGGAATATAGGAATACAACCCTAAAGAATACATGCCCTTATTCATTCCCTACTAACCCCCAATAAGATAAAACAGTTGAGGACGGTGGGTTCACAGTGGAGCTGGATCGACCGTTGGACTTTGAGCACCTCGGGGTCTGGTACCACCATGAGGACAGAGCTTCGCTAGCCCTCAACCACGGGACTTTCTCGAAATGTAGAATCTTGAAAAAGGATTCCGTACTCCCTTCGTAATCCCCATTAATCCGTAGGGTTCCTTCAGGGCCCCATATTTTGAGAACCACCCTGAAGTAACAATTTGACGTTTGCAATTGCTAGGGTGACTGCTAGGATGGCTTTCAGAATGTCTTCTGGTTGTCTTGTTGGGGTTAGGGTTTAGGGTTTAGGGTATAAAGCGTGAGCGTTGAGGCTTCTGTGTCTGATGCGCGCTGATGTTTTGCAATAAGCCCCTAACCCTCAAAATCCTAAACCTGGAACCCTCAAAATGCTAAACTCTAATCCCAAAGCTCCAAGGATTGATTTCAGAAGCCTTTGCAAATTCAGCAGCCCCAGCCAGAATCTTACGGCTCCTCAAGGCTTCCCCCTTTTTTTATAGTTTGCTAATGGTTCTGAGTCTTTTGGCTACTGGTTGGGTGAGGCAACCCTCCCACCCACTCATAGTGGTATACTGGGAATATACGGGGACCCTAACATGATTACCAGTTTCCTTTGTGATCGCAATTATTGGGGAGGGGGGGCCCATCTCAAGCTATGGGCTTCCTTTGAAGCTCGATGAAGGCATCCTGGTCATTGTTGCTGCCAGACAAACCTTAAGCCCAACGCCTGAAAACTTCCGGAGAGGATATTCCCACACCGACGGACCTGCGAGCTGCCGTTGGGCGGCTCACCCGGAACGTGAAGGCAGGGTTTTCGGAGTTGGGAGTGCCAAAGGTTGCGAAAGGACAGAAAATCAAGGGTCCTGGTAGACGTGCATGTAAACCCCTACATTTTGAAAATGCTGATGTCGGCGGTGGAGCGGCGATGCTTCTGTAGGTGTTCCCACTCGCACTGGGCGTTTGACCGGTCAAAATACGGCCGCGGGATCATTCCTCATCTACTTTCTCCACCCATCTCTCAAAGCCAGGAACAGTCAGAAAGATAGGCTCCCTTTCCACTGTGGCTCTGCTGCTTTGTGCAATGCAAGCCCAAATTTAAATTTGCTTGCCTTGGACAAACGTCTCAGCCCTATGCAACTAACTACGGCCAAGTTGTGCGATTGGGATCCTTGGGAGAGACCCCAGTAGGGCAACCTGAGCTGAGCCTAGGCAGGCCAAGCCCGGAGCAGGCCCAGATGATGGAAGTTTCTCCATGATCCCTACATCCTGCACTTTGCTCCAAAAGCTCCAAAAAACTTGGAACCTTACATCACGGGACCGTAGCCTTGTGCAGGTTCAGGGTGATGACGAGTCTGTTGAGTTGGGCAACTCATATCAGTTCGGCGTGCCTTTGCGGCAAAAAGCTAGGAGATCATTCTGTAGAGGCTACGGGGTGCATGCTTTCAAGGTGTTGTTTTCCGAAGGCTGCAATGGCTGTTGGGCCCATACGGTTCATGGACAAAATTTTGCAGGACTCTATAGACCTGACTAAGAATTGTGGTGCTACTCGCTACAGTTGACTTGGGGTTATGCAGGGTTCTGTTCATCAACAACATGAACCTGAAGGTTTGGGGCAGGGCCTGCGGTGGATGAGGATAGCTGTGACTCTGTATGCAAGGAAATGGCAGCCCAGACTGTGTTCGCCATCGGCCATCCGCACTTTCCTAATCTTGGAGTCCCAAAAGTCCCAACGTGGCCCCTACATAGCCGCTAAACAAACCCCTCCACATATATATATATACGTAGATACATGACTTCTAATCTCAAACAGTCTGATCCCTTGGTTCCTGCTACTGAGCGGCCCAGGTTCATGTTGGTGCCTTCGTGGGCGGCATCATGCGGATTGAAAACACGGAGCTGACCAGAAGTGGACAAGCTGCCAACTTCGGGCGGTACTCCTCGCACTGGCATGTGCTTCTTGGCCTAGATGCCATAAGAATTGCGTATACTATGCCGTGGTCCTTGTAGATGTAGAATTGTAGTAGATGGTATTTACCTGATGCAGGCCTCGACATGATATTGGTAGTTGCTCAGGCTTCTACATTAGTTTAATGACTGCTGGAATTCATGGTCGCCGCACCTTAAGTAACCCCAAACCTCAGACCCTTCTGCGCCTTCGCATCACATAGTTTGGTTCATTTCGGACGTTACGCAGGAATGCCCATTTCCTCTTAACGCTTGCCCTGACCCTAAACCCTAAACCCTGAATTCAGACCTTTGGACCATGTAATGCCATCGAACTGCAGTCCATGATAGTCACACCTCCTCCTTTGCTTGCTGACAGCAATTAGGGGATAAAAGAAGTTATTGTATAGGGACTCTATAGGAAATACATCCCTAGACTCTAAACTCTATATATATATATATACGGAATATATCGGAAGGATTCTATTCCATGACTCCCTGCCAACCACCAGTAAGTTTGTGTGGTCGATAATGCCTAGGCTTTCACCACATCGAACCGTTGATGTCGCAGATGCCTGTCTGAGGAAGTTAGGATGTTGGGCAGTCTCCCAGGGCAGGTTCAGGTTGGGATGTCCGCAAGTAGGTGTTCCAATGTGGACCCCACAACCCTTCTTACAGGTACCCCGAAAAAGTGACTCATGATTTTTGGAAGCCCCTGCAATTTTGTGGTGTGTGGAACTAAGGCCTCGCAGTGTCAGGGGACAGCACGATGATAAGAGTTCAGGGGTAATCACTTCTCCAGCGGGCCATTCATTCGAAGACGACGCAGTGCGCCCCACTGCAGTGCAAGTCTTCTATGATGAACGTCGTAGAAGCTAGATACCCGAGTAAGTGCAGGAACAGCTGAACTCTTTCACATGCGGGGCATGAGCGTTAGAAGGATTGCGAGGTTCTCCAGTAAACCGCGGAATCAGGACATTGCCTATCTTCGCAACAACTCCTACCACGATACCTTCCAGCGTGCGGTGGTTGTGCATTCTACGGACTTCGCCACTGTTGAGCACTTCGGCTCGTAGATCTGACCGCTCCGGGATGTTTCTAGGGTTCTCTTAAAGGGTTTTATAGGGACTATATTCGGTTATTTACGGACTAGCTACATGACCCTAATAATGGAAAATGAAGGAAGCTACTATTTAGTGTTTAGGATCATAGGGCTATAAGTACAAGTAATATGAGGTTTAGGGATATTAACTCAAAATGGAAGCTCCAATGAACAAGCTCGTGACTATGAAATAGGAACCGCGGTTGTATAGCTGTTCTGGGTAAAGTTTGTTCACTCTAGCCCTAAACCCTACCCTTAGGTAAACCCTAAACCCTGAACCCTGAACCTTAGATACAGACTGAGCTCGAACAAGTCTTCCGGCACTGTTGTTGTTTGGTGGGATTTGCCTCCTCAACTTGTTGCCCAGGGAAGCGTGTAAAGCGACTATTTTGCACATGCATGAGACATGTAAGGAAGAGCGACTTCGACGGTGCAATTCTTTTACTTAATCGCGGCCGAAAGATTATTAGAAACTTCCTTTCGAGCAATCAATAACTCAGATTCCCAATCTGAATCTCCTTGCGTGAAGCCGTAAGCCACAAGCCCAGCTGAGGCACAACGTGGCCTACAAGACCAAGGGCCACTCTTTTTTCACGGAGGCGGGAGATGAGGTCTTTGCGCTCTACAGCCCCTTGGCTGGACTTGCACTAAGGATCATTCTCCAGCCTTCTTCCTACCTCCTGATTCTGACAGTCGGAAAGTACAGAGGTTGTTCATACTTTCTGCTGAGGGGTTCTGTCGAACACCTAGGAGGAGGGTCAATGGCCAGCAGAAAGCATCATGATGTGTTGACGAGTCCTGATGGGACATAGCTGTCGCGTATCCCAAAATGGCTCCCCAAACCCGAACAAATGTAAAAACCAATTTTCTCCGCATGGCCGATTCTATAAACAGCCGGCCGTGCTACATACCTTGATAATCCCAAATATGGGTACTCCCAGAAAGGGGCCTGTCAATTGTCAGGGAGCTTCACGCCATTGGTGTCATTTAAATCAGCTCTTGAGCTGACGGTGGGACAAATGCTGAGGAATCTCTTGACAAATCACAAAGGTCAAAGGAATGTGAACGAGAGGATCCGTATGGCATATTCCCTAAACCCTAAGCTCTAAACCCGTAACCAGTACGCGTATTAATTGCCCGAAGCAGATCAGACTATAGGATTTAAAAGCGCGAGTTGTCTAGACACCAGTCCCTTCCCTTTGCAAAACAAATTTCCAAAACACTCCTGACTAGCTAGCTATTCAACATCCTGAGCCCTAAGCCCTTTACTCTAAACTCTGAGCACCCTACCCTACACTCAAGAATCTCAGAAGCCCATGTCTTGAATCCTCACGTTCTCAGCGCAAGCCATGGACCCAACGGCACACCCCTCCCCGATCCGAAGGCCTCTGAGTCCTCGACTCTAAAACCCACGCCCAAATCAAACCCCAAACTCTCAGCCCCGAACTAATACCCACCGAGACCACAATCTGGCGGTACGCCCGTTGCAGCATCCGCTACTGCTGGATGATGACGCCCGGACTTGTCAGAGAAACATGCAAGGTTCAGCTGTGACGGAAGAAGGCCACGGTCAGTACAGGACAAGGGATCAGTGTGCAAGTCTAGTTGCTCAAGTCATGTTCACCTCTCTAGACCCTGCTTGGATTCAAAGGGGCACCGTTCCAAAGATTCGGCATCATGCTTTCATATCTTCACAACGCTGGCAACAATCATGCACACATGCTTACGCTATTCGCATGGAGAGGCCTCATGTATGCATAGCATCAGCATCTGACCATGATGCGACTACATCAAGAGCCCCAGGTGCTGGCTGATCTTGCATAGGCTCCATTTGCGGGGAACTGTGAGAACAATCTGTAGGCTGAAGTATCTGTCATATTGATCAGGGACCAGCAGCATGCTTGTTGTTTTCATAGCAGTTAAGAGGATACCAAGTTTGAACCAAGAGTCCTCTTCCTGGACCAAGGACATGGACCCTGCTGGCTTCTGGCTTCCAGGCTTTACAGGCCAGTAGGCTGGGAGAAGTTCCCCCTTAATGTAGTGGCTTCTGGCAGCCAAAAAGAACATAGAGTAGAGTCTCTTATGTTAATGTGCTGCAACTAACAGTATTTAGAAACGAAGCTCGAGCAGCTGATCGTCGGCTCTGCTGCGACAGGTGGAAGCTCGAGGGAATGCATCCGAAGAGCTTCAGACCAAAATGTGCTAGCCTGAATACTTACCAATGTCGTCGGCTTAGATATCTATAGTGTGGTATGGGCTCCGAAATTATGCAAAGACCAACGTCCTGAAAAAGAGAGGCCCTGGAGGCCTTCAAGCTCGTTTCCGATTGAGCACACTCAAAGGTCTTGTCTTATACGGTGCCCAAAACGGTGCCAAAGGTTTGACATAAATGCAATTGAGACTGAAACTCCACAGTCTGCTGATCCCAGTATAAATAAAGAAGCGCGAAGACTCCAAACTTGATATCGCCAGATCCTAAGAGCTAAGCTGAACATGCTGCATCACTTGCTTGCAATCCGCCAGATCTCCTGAAGATGTAACTTCTCCTAAGGGATCCAAATAGTCAAATTTTCCCAATGTGTCTTCAGAGCCCCACAAAGCCAAGACCCATTATGAAGTAGTTTCCATTTTCTTTTCCATTAGCCCAATTTTAACCCAATATATTTTTTTTGCCCCAACATAGCCCCTATAAGGTTCCTTATTACCCCAATATAACCCCTAAGGGTCCTTAAGCCGTAGCCCCCTTCAGACCCTAACTAACCCATTGTAGTAGTTTCCATTTTCCGTTATCCCTATATAACCCCTATGAAACCCCTATAAAACCCTATAAAACCCTTATATAACCCCAATATAACCGCTATAAGGGTCCTTAAGCCTTTAGCCCCCTCCCCAATGCGTTCTCAGACCCTAAATAACCCATTATAGCAGTTTCCATTTTCTTTTCCAGTATCCTCATAGAGCCCCAATATAACCCCTATCAGGGTCCTTAAGCCTTAGCTCCCCTTGAGGATGGCATCGTTCAAACCTAGCAGCGGGTTGCCACCGCGGCTGGCGCCTGCGCCGCATCGCGGGTGTGGCAGGGCAACAGACGGACCCTCTGCCACGGGGTGCAGGGGCTTGTCATATCATGATCACCATATTTATGTATATATATGTAGATATATACATATACATATATATATATATATAGTAGTGGTAGTGAGACGCCGGCTAAAGGTGGCATTGTGGCCGTAAGACTACAAACTGAGAGTTGCGATGATTATATCCTACTCGCGGACAACTAGCTGTGGTATCAGTAGTACTTATTGATAGCCGTGCTGAGAAGAGCAAGAATTGTAAACTATGCTGAAAGGCTTCTCTCGTGAAGGTATACGAGGCCCAGATCAGTGCTTCTGGGTTGGAAGAAGTGTACTGCGTACCAGTATACGGTGTCTATAGATGCACACGTAGAATGTAGAACTGACCGTGCTGCTTATGATGCGTGCTCTTGGCTGGGTCAGGATCGAGGTATCAGATTGGAAATTGGCGGATTGTAAGGTTGACTTCGAGGTGCAGGCCCTTTCCATATTGCGGATCACGTAATCACCAGTTGGGGTCCACCAGCCCCTGTCACTCGGGCCCTCACAGAAAATCTTGAAGCCTAGACCGCAAGCCCTGAACCCTGGCCTGGCACTCCGGCCATAAGTATAAAGCCTTTTCCCTTGTTCCAAGATAGTACGCTGCTCAAGAATAGGGACTGCTTAGAGGTAAGGTCAGGCAAATATGTAGAGTTATGTCCAGATATCAAGGGATTGCACGATCTCCATGTTTTTTCATTTTATGCCTGTGTCGGGGTCCGAAATCCTACGCAACAGGTTCTTTGGACCTGGACAGGACAACCAAAGATCTCCTAATCCTGAGCCCGAGGGAGATGTTCCCTCTACAGGTGAGGATTTGAAGAGTTTGGGATATATAATTTAGGTGGACCCCCCGGCCCAGTAATACTGACTATAATGGGATAATAAGGATTATATTAGGGTCCTCTTATATTCCTATTATACCACTATTACAGGGTGGGGGGTCCTCCCAATATACAATCCTTTACCAACACGGAAGCAGCCCCAAAAAGCAACTGCATGGGAGCGGCCAAGCCTTCACCCAGACAGAGGGCATCCATATTATACTATACTAGTTTCCATCATGTTTGCCATTGTCCCTATATTATTTTTTGTCATTTTGAATAACTATTTTTGTTCTTCTTCTTAAAAAGTTTTGTAGGACCTGACATTCTTCAACAACTCGGCGCACGCAAGTGGCTTCGGATGGCATCTGAAACCCCCGCACGCGCCGCCTACGCTGAACCTGGTACAGATTAACACAGTTTTCGGGTGTAGGATTTAGAGTTCTGGAGTGTATTCATCCTTTGTAATTATCAGTGATCCCTACGTGTATGACAATCCCTATGTTATAACCTCTCTATTATGCCTATCTAATCTCAATGACACTGTGTACAAGTCCTGTGTGAGCTGATTTCAGCCGAATTCCTTACAGAACCTCCACGGCCAGCCAGGAACATCTTCCGGAACTTCACCGCGTTCCGTTGCGACACCGGGTGGCATTTAGGAGGTGGTCAAAAGTATAAGTCCTTTGGGAGGCCCCACTGTAAATTCTTTCATGTGCCAAATATGGAAAGGGGCTTTGTAGACTTTCTGCTCGTAGGGCTGATGTGGGTGTGTAGCGGAGTGGTGGCTACAGCTCATGTCAGTGCAGTAAAGATTCAATCAACGCAGATAGCCCTTTTCAGGGCTTGGAAACCAAGATGCTGATGGTCTGCAGACAAAGTTGCTGGTCTTGACATGCCTTTTCAGCTCCAGTTCAGGACACAGGCATGTTCTACTACGGCACTGGCAACATCCTACATGACGACCACCGCTTCATCGAGTGCGGGACGGGCCACTTCATGAACCACTTGAGCAGCTCGGGCTTGTTTTAAGAACCTTCAGATAAGAAGCCAGGCCGTAGTGATAACATTGCTGAAGTTGGAGGTCTGAAGTTCTCCGGCACTTGAGGCTTGCGCCGGGATCTGCATCTTGTGGCCAAAGCTATGTGATCCTTTTGATGCGGAGTAATTAGCAGCAGTAGCAGCAACAGCAATAATCATGCTAGCACTGAAATGCCCAACATGTGAGGATGCATGGTCTTCATCACCCCTGAACTGCACTTCTTGGCATCGCGCCATGCCACGACTCAATGCATAAGACGAGGCGATGTCACCCACACTGCCTTGATACGTGAAATTGTTGGTATCAGTGCGTTGCTGAGCAAGTTACTTGAGCTTGTCAAGTAGCCGCGAGTGCTCTCTCCATGACTTGAGTTGAGGCAATGGTCTTCACACCCCACCTTTCTACCACAACCTCGTGCTTGTGGGAAACATCAATCCTTCGGCAAGCTGGTCCAGGAGGGGGCCCTGTCTTACCAGTGAAGGGGTGGATGGGTGAGTGTACATCATTATGTGGAGATTCATATGGATGCTGCTCTAAACCCCCGCCCGTTCTAGCGAGTCTACTGCCGGCAATAGACCATTATGATTTTGCGAGGTGTTGCAGAATCGCGCGCGTGCCGTGCACGCTTGCGCAAGGGCGGGCGCAAAGCAAATGGTGCCTCATACACGTGAATTATGCATATGTGTATACACTACGTTGCAGTGAGAGTAAATTCCCATGTGCTTAAGACGGCCTAGTGGCGGGCGCGAGGAAACCCGAACGCTGGGGCACCAATACTAGAATTCAGAACATCATCCGTATGGGGGCCTGTATGGATTCAGTTTCCCCTAGGCCCGGTAAACACCATTAAGGCTTCCTTTCTTGTCAGCCGTTTGCGACCTCTTCCAGGATCGGCCGTTTCTTTGGCCATGAGGCCTTGTTTGGACAAGTCTTGCGTTAAGGCGGGTATGGAGGCGGGTATGGCTTATCATGCGCTCCTTCCAGACTTTTAGACTTCCGTTGTTCAACCAAAAAGAGTATTCAACGAAAACTTCCACATTCTTCAGTTGCAATCAGCCGATTCTTGAAAGTGCGCGTCCAGCATATTTAGCTGTCGGGCCTGTCTATGACCGCGGTAGTGTAGCCCTATGTCTACGCCTTCCAAGTTCCGTGCAATCCCAAAGTTTAATGCAGCTGGAGGGATGCAGGCGAGGGTTTCCACAACTGTCTTCCAGCCTTCCTGGGGTTCCGAACACAACCTGAACTGCAAGTCTGGAGGAACCAACCTTCAAGCATGCCAAATATCCCCCTGAACCCAAACTCTCCCACTGGTTGTGAGGAGGCGCCTGAGCAATGGATCTCTAAAGCAGCCCTTGTATCATGCTATACACTCGTTTCCGCTGTTTTTTCCATTCATTCTTTTCCATTCCTTCATTCCCTACTTCACACCTCCGCTCCATCAGGAGCACTTTGGGTGTCCGAGGTCCCAAGGACAACGAGTGCCTTCGACCTGTTGCTTTATAACTGCTCATAGGGTCCTGGGCTCATATCGTTGCATGGTATCAGTCCACTTGTGTTTGCATTCTGAGCCGTGGGGGATGCCAGAATCACCTGTTGCATAGTTCAATTCACGTTACTCTGTCAGAGCTCTGTTCCTTTTTCTTTTCTGTTTGATGATTCTCCGTTCTTGAGCAAGAATGGTAATTATTTAGGCCCTTGTAGTAGTTAAAGAGCTTCAGCTTCTTGAGCCCCGAGGGTTACTTAAGGTCACATGTGTAGATTTTCACTTGGGATACTATGGGCCCCAATATGGAGAAAGATCATATTCTCTTCTTGGGTGTGGCGTGTCTTATGAGGAGAACATAATCTTACTTGGTTCAGCCACGAAAACACTATTCAAAATCACATGGAACATGTCACGGAAAGTGAGGTCTTGAAGGACATGCAGTTTTCTTCTTGATCCCTAACAGAAACAGCACTGATGTTTCACAGCTGGGTCTCAATGGGTCCAATCCTTGAGGAAGCTTCCACAGAAGAATGCAGGGGAAAAGGTCCAGTACCAGGTAGAAGGAAGGCAGGCTGTTGTTCTTGGGGGTCCACCTTGCTCCGTGGAGGCATCGTGTGTATGTTTGATAAGTCCCTGAGAGTGCTAAGCTTGCTACGCCCAGTATCAGAACAGCAGCATTAAGAAGGATCCAGGCTTGAGTCAATGCCCCCAGCTATTTCAGAATGATGGGATGGATAATGCAGGGGCTTGTCCTTTTGAGTCGCGGGCCTCGGGCCCAAGAGTTTAGGGCTTCCATCGGGATCCTTCGGAACAAAGTCGGAGGATTTTGCCTCAGACAGGTACTTCTTCATCTCGGGCATGACGGTCATCAACTACTTCGAGTCGGTGGCTCTCAAGGCCATCGGGGAAGCCTTACAGGGACACCCAAGAGGTTTCAGAGATATCCACCGGCACCACTGAAACTGCACATAAAGATGCAAATTCTGTGTTAACTGGGCCCGCGTGGATTTCGCTTGGGAAGGTCAGGCCTAGTCTCAGGATTATGCTGTTTTTGGTGACGGGTTTAGCTAGCTGAAGGATGGGTTTGTTGGCGGAGGCATGCATCTAGAAAGCGGCTGAAGAACATGCAAGTGTGTATGTGTGTTCAGACAAAGACGCTTCACAAAGCTCAGCGTCTTATTCTAAGCTGGTAGCAAGTCACTAGCGAGACCCCAGGCAAGAACATCCAGCTTTGCAATTTGCAAGTTTTCAGTTTTCAGACGCAAGCCCGAAATTTGAATTCAGCATTGCCCGAAAACCCAAACCATAAACCTTGAAGCGCAAATCCTGGACCCTAACCCCGAAGCCTAAACCCTGAAGCCACACCCTGAACCCTAAGTCCTGAAGCCACACCCTGAACCCTAAACCCTGAAGTCCAACACTGTGATTTAGGGCTGCTTCGAGACCACCTGCACAATGCGCTTTGAGCGGGCGAGGCCAGGGTCCAATGGGGTCCCCTGATTGAGTTTCCCCCATCCTAGTATGCCCCCAAAATTCAAAAGAACCATAATCTGAACAACTTGCCACAGAGAGGACCATGATTATTTCTTGGGGGTCTATTCAAGCAGGTCCTGATTTTGACAGTTGCCCAAATGAGCAGAAGTCTAAACTCCCAAGAACCCCCTTGAATAAGCCCAAGAGTAGTCCCCTATATAGTCCCCTATATAACCCCACTTTAAGGAGTTTAGACTACAGCCCCAATGGTTTGCGGCTGCCTGGCCACAACAAGGGTGATTGTTCCGAGTGGCCTGACATGCCTGTCCTTTTGGAGTGGCCTTCTGAGACCACGTCATGTATGTACCTTCTGAGGGCCCGGTAGGGGACTATAGGGGGTTATATGGGGGTTAGTGTTTAGGGTTTAGTAAGTTTATGCGGTTTCCAATCTGACCACAGCCCCCGAACTCACGCACGTAGCTTGGGTTGGCGCCGTCAGGTGGATAAACTCTACAATGCGGACGTCAAGCAGCCTCAAGCAGTCCGGGAGACCTGGATGGGATTTTGGGCGCCTGTCAGGGCCTTTCTGAAGTGGAAGAGTCCCGGGCTTGGCTGGAATTCTCCGGGTAATAGTAACAGTAAGAGTAATGGTGCTTGGATCCTAGAGTCATAGTGTCAGGGTGCAGTGCGGTGATGGTTTATTGGCGGAGTAGAGTAATGCCGTACTAGTGCAGCAGCACAATGGTGTAGTAGCTTAATAGTGTAGTAGTGTGACGGCGTAGTAGTGCAATGGTGTTGTAGTGCAATAGTGTAACAGCAAAACTGTAACAATGTAATATAGTGATCGTCTATAGGGTCATGGTAGTAGTGTAATAGTAACAGTGAACTGGTAGCAGTTCAACTGTAACAGTGCAATAGTGTAATCGTGCAATGGTGTAGTAGTGCAATAGCCCTGGTAACAGTAACCCTAACATGAGGGGTAGTGGTGCCCGCCGCATGTGTTGGTCTTTCCGGAAAAATTCATCTCAAAAAGATTCGTGCGTCAAAGGTCTATGATTGCAGGCTTGGGACCTAGCGTTCGACGGTTGGATTTGCTCGAGACTGAAGCAATGGACTAGAAAGTGACACTCCAAGATTTAGGTTTTCGGGGTTGTGGGTTCTGGGTTTAAGGGTTCGGTTGCGCTGATGTTCAGAATTGGCCTAGGCGCCTGCGCAGGAGTCGAGATGTTTATGGGTGAGGTGAGTGCTGTTGACATGAGAGGAGCCGGGGAACTTCGCGCACATCATTAACGCCATCCAAAAAATGCTTCATCCTAGGGCTACGTAAGAAGCCCTACATTGGAGAGCCTTTGTGGTAGTTGATCAGAACTTTCTTGCAGAAATGGCCATTGTAAGGAGAAGTGTTCCCCCGCTGCATCAGGACCATACTTCTGACACCC